GACTATGAAAGCATGCATAGGGCATGCACAGATCTGTACCAGATTCAGTCCCAGAGCTCAGTGAAAATTTGGACATAAACCCCCATATCCCTAACCCAGAAGCTATCCAACTGATAACCACTCAAAAATGAAAAATTAGTTCTCACTGGGGATACAAACCACTCTTAAAGCCAGCCCCCATACCCAGCAATTGATCACCAACATGAAAGGTTCTGTCTCATAATATTGTGTGTGCGTGTGCGTGAGTGCGTGTGTGTGTGTGTGTGTGTGTGTGTGTGTGTGTGTGCGTGCGTGCATATGCATATTATGGCTTCTGGTTTAGTGCTTTTATGTGATTCCTGTGGATGTTAATCTGTGTATCTCTACATCTATATGTTTCTTTTTGTAAGATTTATTTATTATGTATACAGTGTTCTGTCTGCATGTGTGCCTGCAAAGAGAGCACCAAATCTCATTACAGATGGTTGTGGGCCACCATGTGGTTCTGGGAACTGAACTCAGGACCTCTGGAAGGAAAGTCAGTGCTCTTAACCTCTGAGCCATCTCTTCAGCCCTATATGTATTTCTTATGCTTTCTCTTTTTTTCCATTTGTTTATTTTGTTATCTTCAGGTGTAATTTATCTTATTTCATTTTGTTTATTATCATTCTGTTTTCTAAGAAAAGAGGGGTGAGGATTCAGATGGGAGGGGAAGTGGGAAGGAGTTGAGGAGTTCTGGGAGGAAAAACTGTAATCAATAAATTGTATGAAAAAGGTCTATTTTTAATAAAAGAAAACTAGAAAAAATCAGGCACAAACAATATAACGATGTACCTCAAGTTCTTAGAAAAGCAAAATTAAACCAAATCAAAATAAAGAAAAATAAATAGTACACATCAGTTTGGAAAATAATGAAGATTATAATTGGTTCCTTTAAAAATAGACAAAATTGGCATGCTTAAAAACTAAAAAAGGTAAAAGACTCAATAAAATTGAGTATGAAAGTGGGCATTTTAAAAAGATAAAGAAAATACAGAGAATCTTTAAGAGATATTTTGAACGCTGGGCAGTGGTGGTTAATTTTTTTTAACGTATTGCTCATTACGGGTAAAAAGTATTTTACTGAGGAATTTTGCATCTATTTCCATGAGAGAAAATGGTCTTTTGCTGTTGTTATCAGCTTTTAATATCAAGATAATATTGACATTGTAGAATAAAGTTGATAATGTTATTTTATATTTTTTTAGATGGTTTGAAGATGTGACCAGAGAGATGGATCAATAGTTAATGAGTCTTGCTGTTCTTATAGAGGGATATAAATCTATCCAACTATAGATACCCAAAAGCCAAAATTATACAATGAAAAAAAGAAAGCATATACAATAAATGATTCTGGTCTAACTGGATATTGGCATGTAGAAGAAAGCAAATCCTTTAATCCCAGCACATGGAAGAAAGAGGCAGGTGATCTCTGTGAATTGAAGGCCAGGTTGGACCGCAGAGTGAGTTCCATGACAGCCAGGGCTGTTACACAGAAAAACCCTGTCTCTAAAAATCAAAATAAAAAACAACAACAAAGAGTACTGTGGGACAATGCTTTTGTACCCTGTAAAGATTTGTCACTTGTATTAGTATAATAAAACACTTATTGGTCAGTAGCCAGGCAGGAAGTATAGGCAGGGTGACCAGAATAGAAATCTGAGAAAAGGCTCAGCTTGCTGTTATCACCCAGACACAGAGGAAGCAAGATGAGAATGCCTCACTAATAAAAGGTACCCAGGAACCACATAGCTGAAGAGATCCATTCCCACAACTTGTCTTCTGACTTCCACATAAGTACTGTAACACATGTGTATGAATAAATAAGTAAATGTAGTAACAAAAAGGTAGAAATGTGATTGCAAAAGGTATCATAATGTTAGCCTCTAGACTCTAAATGCAACTGCAGAGGCAAGTATATTCATATACATACATCCATACATACATACATACACACACACACACACACACACATATATATATATATATTCACATATACCATACACAAAAAAGTTTAAAAAGAAAAAAATCTTGTCATTTGTAAGAAAATGGATAAAACTGAAGGTCATGATGTTAAGAAAATGAGCCACAGTCAGAAAGACAAATGTTAAAATTTTTCTTGTGTGAGATCAATCTCCTCCCCAATGTTTGTGTGTGTGTGTATAAACCTACCATGTTACATAATGAACACATGTTGACAATTTTTAAAAGAATATTTACAATTATCTGATGGTATCAGGAAAATAATCTTTATTTGGGGAACTATATAGCACATAAACTTTAAAAAATTTGTGTGTGTGTGTGCGTGTGTGTGTGTGAGGCTATGGGCATGTGCTTGTCATGGCTGTGTATGTCTGTCTGTAGGTTAGAGTGTAACCTCAGGGATTCCTCCTCGAGACTACTTTTTTTTTTCTGAGACAGGGTTTCTGGCTGTCCTTGGAACTTACTTTGTAGATCAGGCTGGCCTTGAATTCACAGAAATCCACCTGCCTCTACCTCCCGGGATTGCTGGGATTAAAGATGCGCCACCACCTGCTGGCTGAGTCTCATTTTGCTGTTGACAAAGCCAGGCTAGCTGGCTCCTGAGCCACCTGTTGCTGCCTTTCTTCTACCCTCCAGAAGACTGGGATTAGACATACCTGGCTTTGTGTAGATTTTGAGGATTCAAAACTCTGGTCCTCCATCTATGTGGCAGTTGCTGTTACCAACTGACTCGTGCTTCCAGCCTCTAAACATTTTTATCACAATAAAAAATTGTTTTAGAAAATGTTCTACCCATGCTTGGTAATGCACACACTTACTCCTAGCACGGCAGAGGCAGAGGCAGGTTAATCTCTGTGAATCTGAGGTCAGCCTGGTCAGCAAAAAAAAAAAATTTTAGGCCAGCCAGGGGCTACACAGTGAGTCCTTGTCACAGAAACAAAAACACATAAACAACTCAATATTCCTATTGAAAATTACTACTGAAAATATGCCAAAGAAAATTATTACTAGAATGTCATATAATATTTCAGATTTTTGCTTTTTTATAATTGTTTTTAAGACAAGAGTCTCTCTACATAGACCAAGATGTCCTGGAACTCTTGTAGCCTAGGCTGGCCATGAACTCAGAGATCCACCTGCCTCTGCCTTCCAAGCGCTGAGATTAAAGGCCTGGGCCACACTGCCTGGTTGTTAGAGGTTCTTAATGCATGCAAACCTATTATTTTTAAAACAAATGAAACCAGAGAATTTTTAAAAGTTAAAAGGAAATTGACTTTCGCTTGACTGCCCCTTTGAGCCTACCTCCCTGAAATAACAAATGTTAAAAGGCCACCTCAGTTCTCTCTTATAAATGCAAAAGGATTTATGTATATTCTTACTTTATGCATTTCAGTAAAAAAGAACCAGAGTGGCAATTGGTGGGCATACACCTTCAATCCCAGCACTTAGGAGTCAGACACAGACGTATCTCTGTAAATTCAAAGCCAGTATGGTCTACATATACATAGTGAATTTCTGTCTCAAAAAAAAATCATAGAAAACACCCTCCAACGGTACACGCAGTTTTGTCATTTGGTCCTCAACATAGGCACACAGAGAGAAACTAATATTCAGTTAAGAAGGTCATATAATAAACAGCAAAACAGGACTTTAATCCCAGCACTTGGGGAGAGGCAGGTGAATCTCCATGAGTTTGAAACCAGCCTAATCTACAAAGTGAGTTCCAGGACAGGCTCCAGATACACAGAGAAACCCTGTGCCGAAAAATCAAAAACGGGGGAAAAAAATGCAAAGCAGTACTCACTCTGATTTGGTTTCTGACATATAAACGTCAGAAAGTCACTGAGCGTTCTTTTCCAATGTTTAAGATTCATTTATGCTTATGGGTATTTTATGTACATCTGCACACCAAAAAAGAGCACCCGTAGTTGAGGTTGTGAGCCACTATGTGGGTGCTGGGAATTGAGGTCGTGACCTGCAAGAGCAGTCCGTGCCCTTAATGGACATCCTCCAGCCCCTTCCCTGAGCATTTTAACTGATATATCACACATTTCTGATGACAGGATAGGAGTGAATTCTGCATAATCTCGGAGAGCTTCAGCAGTGAATGGAAGAAATGAAAGGGTCCTGATTATGAACCACCATATAAAGTGGCGCTTGAGGCGGCAGCGGCAGCAGGTGGGGCTTGGAGGTGCTTGGTTTGGGAGAAAAGAAATGACTGCAAATTATTATAGGGGGCTATGGAGGATGGAGCTACCCTCATACTATACCCCTTTAGTTGCGTCAGAAAAACCCATGAGGTTGGCGCTTCCGATTGCGGTTCCAATTCTGGAACATTCCATACAAAAGAGCGGGCTTTTTCAGGCATGGGACAAACTATTACACTTGGGGGCACAACTTTTGAAACTTGTTTAGATTTTTATTTATTTATGTGTTTATTTATAGTTTTTTGTCTGTTTAACTACTTTTTTCTGTCTTCAAGGGACCTCAATACTAACAACAGCTGGTTCCCAATTGTCTTTGGCACAAACAGGGGGTGGGGCGCTCCCTCGCCTCCCCCTGCCCATCCTGGAAATTGGAACAGCCCAAAAGAAAACCTCGCGAGATGTCGGAACGAGACTTGTTCCCGCCAGTCCTTTACTCTGGAGCGAGTCCTTTACTCTGATGCAGTTTGCCTGAGGAGGAGGACTGGAATTTGCTGTGTTCTGTCGCTGTGTTCTGTCCGCTGTCCGCTGGCTGTCCTCTTTGGTTAGCAGGCTGATCTTGTGGTAGGTGTATTGGACCGGTAAGTCCTCTGGCCACTAGTGGGAGCAGTGAGTCAGGGGAGGGTGTCCTGGCTAGATAGAAAGCCCTCCAAGGAGTCACTTTTAAATAAACTTGGCTGGCGGGTACCGAGCTAAGGCTTAAGGGGAGAGGTTGTGCTATCAAAAACCTACAACAGACTGTTCTGTTCTTAACAGAGCCCGCAAAGCCCCTAAGGCATTCAGCCATCAGCCATCATGAATCCCGAGGATCCCTCTAGTGGGTTCCGGCATGACAAGGTGTTAACGTTCATCAATGAGCAAATGTCCAAGCAACCAGAAGGCTCTGCGTTCTACCAAGAGAACCTGTCCCTGTCCTGGGAGGAGGTGGAAGAAAAGCTCCGACTCCTCCTGGAGGATAACAAGATGCCTAGCCAGGCTCAGGAAGCCTGTGCCTGGGGTGGCCTGGCCCTGGGTATTCGCTTTGCTTGGAGGCAAGGCCACTTGCAAAGGCGCCGGGTGCAGTGGCTGCACGACTTCGCCTCCCTGCACCGGTCAGCGGCACATGCCTTGGCATCAGACCTGAAGAAGCTCACAGACCAGCAAGAGATGGAGCGCAAGGAGGCGGCCTTCCAGCTTCAACTGGCCCATACCAGACTGGCGGACGTGCAGAGAGAGCGGGACCTGCTGAGACTGAAGCTCCTACACGCAGTAAGATTACCTCCTAACCCAGTTTTAGCCCCACCCTATGCCACCCCTATGCCCTTTCCCCATTTCTGGAATATGGCTTAACTCTTCCCACTTCTCTCTAGGAGCTGAGGGCCTTTCCAGTTGGAGAGATGTCAGGCGCGACTAGAGCCCCTGCTACTGCTGGAGGGGCAAAAGCAGAGACACAAAATGCAGGAGAGACAAAAGAGGTGACAGCTAGTGATAGACCAGTGGGTGAGCCAGAAAAGGAGGTAGCCATGGCTGCCCCTGGGGAGCTGGAAGGCACAGGAGAGCTGGGAGGAAGCATCGTGGGTCATTTTGGAGTTATGGATTGGAAAGATTATGGTTTGGGCTTGGAGGAGGAAGGGAAGGAAAGGGAAGGCGGCAAATCTACTGAAACACTTACATGTTCTGACTCTGGACCCTTAGATCTCGGGTCCACATCCTCCCCACAATCTGTTACAGTCCAACTCCCTGCTTCATTCACATACTCATACGAAAGCCCCTTCCCAGTCACACCCACTCCATCCCCGCCACCAAGCATTCTCACAGAACCTCAGATGCCTCCCTACTTCATGGCTACTGATATGAATATGTCTGACGTTGAGGGCCCTACAGTATACCTCCAAGAACCCCCGAAAGAGAGCCAAAAGAGTGGAGTCCAACAGCAGAGACCTGGGAATTGGAACTGTCCTTGGTGTAAAAATGTGAATTTTTCACAGTGTGAAAACTGCTTCCACTGTGGGAGGCGAGTATGGCTGCAGAGCCCTCAGTGAGTTCAGAAACATGATACAGAACAAAAAGTCACCATAGGGAAATCAATTTTCAGAGGTTTGTGAAAAGGAGAACGGAGTGGGGGTTCATGGGAATGGGAAGGGGGAAACGTGGGATGGGTACAGATGGTGTGGGAGGGACAAGTTTTGATGATTTTTTTGTATTCCAGATCATTAGCATTTGACACCCCAGAACTGCTTCACCTGTGTTGGGGGTGGGTTGCCAGGGGGGGGTGTTTGGGTGTGTGTATGCATAGCCCCTCCCTAGTGGCTGGTGGGCCTAGACAGTTAAATATATAAAAGACCCTACTCTTTCTACTTACCTAGGCTTCAGAAGATGGAGCCAGAGGTTATAGCGATCTATTCTAAGCCAAAGATTTCAGGCTGAAGGATGTGAAGGGGAAGATCCAATTTCAGGATAGTTTTGGGTTAAGAACCAGTGGATCCCTGGAAGTCAGGGATAGGGTTATAGGCAGTGATTCTGGAGGCCACAGCCCATCGCTGGCCCTGGCTAAGGTAGGGAACAGAACCAGCTGCTTTCCAGTTTTAGCCAGATACTAGAGCCTCCAGGAGCTGACAGCTATACAGAGGAGTTGATGAGCTGACTACAGAGAACTCAGCTACCTTTCATTTCTATGAAATTGTGTTATGTAAGGTACCATTTTACCTCAATCCCTTCTCTTTAAGATAAGTAGCTGCTTGTTCTCAGCAAGTAGCTCATTCTCATGTCAGGCACTTTTTCTTTCATATTTTGACTTTTCTTTGATTTAAAAAAAAAAGGTCTAATGTAGCCTAGACTTGCCTCAAACTTACTAGTAACTGAGGATGACTGGCTCCAGATCCTCCTGCCTCCACTTCTAAGCGTTGACATTACCACACCTGGCTCAGAATAGTAGTTTCAAAACAATGCACCATTAAAGAAACTTAATGGAATTGGCAGGGGAGTTGAGGTGGAGAACAAGCAGTGAGGATTCCTTTATTTCAAGTCTCCAGGAATGAACTGGTAGGATGCCTGTGTTCTGAGCGAATTTTATTACAAGAAAAAGGTCAAGCCTCTGGCAGTCGTTCCTAGGAATGAACTGGATAGGATGCTCAAGTTCTGGAAGAATAATACAAGAAATAAAACCATCCAATGAAGCCTGAGATGGCTTAACCTCTGGTTTATGCTTGACTCAAAATAACTTGGTGGAGATTTGCCACCCCTCTGAGAATTCTGAAAGCCTAGAGATTATGCCAGCACCAGATGCAAACAAGGACTTCTGTGACTGTACAGCCTCTTAAGAGAATGCTTCCATAGTCCCCAGTGTGCAGAACCATGGACAGGTCTGAACAGGAAACTCCACTAATCCAAGGTGAGTCAGCAACTGATAAGGCACAGAGGATTTGCTAGTATATAAGGGCCAAGCACAGTGCTATCTGATGAGATCCTCCCTTCCAGTTCAGCAGCATGCTAAAGGAGGAGAATGGGGATTTAATAAGCTCTTGGTGTATTCAAAAATATAAAGTACAACAGAACTTTATCCCAGTAGGAGAGGAATGGTGGAGGTCGGGGGAGTGAGGAGTAGAAGGGATATCAGTCTGTTTCTCCCCCCCCTCTGTGGCTACAAAATGTGTTGAGAGGAACTACCTGTCTTAGTCCTCAGGCAGAAGGGACTGGACCTGGACCAGACTGAGATACAACTGGAAGACTCCTGCCTATCTCAAGAGACTATGAACCTGGAGAATAAGGAGCTGTTGTGTCGTGGGACACCTGTAATAGCAGAAATTTGGCTTTGGGTTGTCTGTTGTTGGTGTCGGTACAGTTATCTTCAGGGCTGGAGGCCAGATCTCCACCCTGAAATGTTTTGAACATCTTTTGGGCTTGTTTATCTCCCTCTACTTTAGGGTTTCCTAACCTCATTGCACTTGACATCTGGATTTGAACAGTTCTTTGCTGTGAGGTAAGAGTTCTTGTGCACTGTAAGGCATTCAGCAGATTCCTAGCCTGTCTGCATGATCCATTCCCAACCCTTCAGTTTTGACCATCAAAACTGCCTCTGCATAGTGCCACATGTCTACTAGAGGGCAAAAAACCAACCTGAGTTGGGAACCTGTCAGACAATGAAGTGCATAGCCATGCGAACAGGTAAAGAATCAAAAGACAAGGACACAGAGGCTGAAGCTGGCTGAAAAATGTCTACTAGGTCTGGTGCTTACTTTGGATCTTCAAGAAAACTCAGGGTGGTGTGACACCAAACTTCCAGGACTGAGGAGTGGAGGGAACTTCTACAATAGTGGTTCTCAGCCTTCCTAATGCTGAGATCCTTTAATACAGTCCTTCATGTTGTAGTGACCTCCAACCAGAAAATTACTGCTGTTGCTATTCTATAACCATAATTTTACTACTCTCATGAATTGTAATGTAAATATCTGTGCTTTCCAGTGGTCTTAGGTGACCACTGTAAAGGGGCCATTTGACCCCCCAAAGGGGCCGTGACCCACAGTTCAAGAGCCAGTTCTCTACAAGGACTCTAGGTTGTGAAGGGAAGAAGTCAAGTGAGATTCACGATTAAGAGAGGGCTATTTGTCACTTAGCCAACATGCTTGGGAAAAGATATTTGGGTAAACTATCTGACAAGCGCTTAAACTCTAGTAAAGGCAGTGCTTTCATAGAGATTTCCTGAGATAAAACATTCCATCCTGCAGGAAAGCTCCTTAAGACTCAGATGTCTTAAAGGAAGACACATTATTAGAAACTTGAGCTATTAAGGCAATAACAAAAAGCTTTAAATGCAAGAGAAAAAAATGATCTTGTGTACTGGATGGCTGTATAGGAGGCATAGCCAATGGTATTAAAAGAAAAACAGTACTATGAAAGGGATCATTTTTGTTTTATGTTAAAATAAAAGTTTTTTAAAAGTTCTTAGGTATATATGTTACATAGAAATGTTAAAAACTTTATATTTTATATTTACAAAATTTCTATTTCAGTATAAATTGAAAAGGTATAGAAAGACATTCAGCAAACAAGGTATCAGGTAGGGAAGAGAAGTCAATGTGATATGGCTATAAGATAGAGGGCAGGGAAGTTTGAGTAAAAGGTTTTTCTTCATGTACCTATATTTTGAAAGTAATATGATGTTCATGAAAAAAATAAAGAAAACTCAATTTACCCACTCAAGTTTGGAAAGGCTGTTTCTTCCTCAGGGATGGGAGGGAAAGAGGACACTGGTTTCTGTAGCAAAGGGGTGGGATTCCAGGAGGTGGCCAGGCTGCAAGCCTACACGCATGTATGTATGTGAGCAATGTACCTGCAAATGAGAGAGGACAGAAGTTCAGGGCAGTGAGAAGTCATGCTCTGAACATCTTAGGAATAATAAAGCATAGAATAGGACATGGACGGAGAGAAAAGGATCATCAAGCTGCCTGGACCAGCATAGGACCAAACTGAAAGGAAACTTAGATAATAGGAGCCTATAGGAAAACGGAATGCTCTTCTGGGACTCAAGAAGGGCACCTAACACAAAATTTACAACTCCTCCAACCCTACCACGCTCTCACTGTAGCAGAAACACCACATCTGTGGGTGCATAAGCACAGTCCCAGCTGTATTTTGTTTTCAGGTCCAATCTGCTGGAATTGTAATGTCTGGTAACCCAGTCTTTAACACCTTAAAGAATTTAAAGCAAACTTCAACTTACTTTGAGTCTTTCACTTTACAGTATGGACTGCACAGTGCTTGAAAGAACAGGTTAGCTGACACACTAGCAAATTGTACAACTGCAAAGACCTAAAAGAGATGAAAAAGCAAAAATAATTCTAAAAGCTTGTTTGAAGCTTTTTTTACCCCATGCAAGTATTAATTTAGCTTAGAATTTACTTCATCTCGCACATAAGGAAATTAAAGACAAAAAGGTTAAATTGGTCAATGTGCCACACGCAGGGCCATGCTGATCTGGGTGGCTGGTGCTGCCACCTGGAGCCATGGAGATATCCAGGCATGGGCCACTGCCTAGTGCCATGTCTGGGTCTGTGGCCCCATGGCAGCCCAGGTCTGGGATGATGTCTGTGGCTCCTGTTGCCACCAAGTGCTCTGTGGATTCCTGGGGACCATGCTGATCTGGGTGGTCTGTGCTATCAGGACTGTGGTGGCATCTAGGTCCGAGCTGCTGCAAGGGCTGTGTCTGCGTCCCTGGTCCTTTTGTGGCTGGTGTCTGTGATGAAGACCATGGCATGTACCTGTGTTAGCACGGGGATCTTTGGAGCCATGCTGTGCTGAGCCAGCCCCGCCCTTCACTGGTCCTGTTCCTCCTTGGACAATGTAGCAGGCAAAACGGCCCTACTCCTCAGAGGAAAGCTTGCTCTCCACCCCTCACCACAGGTATGCACCTCACCTGGGCAGCACACTAGAGCTGACCCTGTTGTCCTGGGTGCAAGTGAACCGAGAATGAGAGCAGGAAAGCTGACCCACCGTTACCCCCCACATTCCCCTACAGTAATCAGGAGGGCCCCACACCTTGCCTGGGATTAACAGTAGAGCTGGCCCTGGTGATGTGAGTGTGGAGGACCTAGATCTGAGGACCTGAGAGCAAAAAAACTGGCCCCACCCCTTGCTGGAGGTTGCACTGGGTGAACTAGCTGAGGCAGTGCTGGAGAGCTTGCCTGAGTAATGCTGATTATGGAAAACTGGCAGGCTGACCAATTCAGCTACTGCCCAGGCCCAACACCAGGACTATGAGTTAGCACACTCCAACATCCACCTCATCTCTGAACTGTTGGAGCATGTTAAGGGGACAAGCCTACAGAAACAAAACAGCAGGATCAACACAGGACAACACAGGACAACAGGATATCCAAGAGGAGCCCCAGCAAGAGCCCATTATCAGTGGTGTAGCAGGAGCCAGAGGCCAAGTCAGACCAATGACTCATGGCAATGAACACTTACAAGATGAATGGACTAAAGGGTAAGCTGTGTGACTCACTGAACCACACTACAGCTTCCACGACAAGAGTCTCCTTTTTGTTTCGTTTCTTTAGTTTTCTTTTGAATTTGGTTCTGATTTGGGGTGGGGGATGTTGCAAAGGCAGAGGACAGATGCAAGAGGATGGGAAAATAAGCAGGATCAAAATGCATGATGTGAAACCTACAAGGAATAAATAAAAGGGTTTTTTTAATGATCAAGGTCATGTATGTAGGTTAACCAAGTCTGACTCCACAGTCATACTACATATCAGTGACCAAGGTGAATATGTATTAACTCAATGAGCAGTACGGTAATCACTACTGCCTTGGGAGACAAGGTGACTTTTCCAAACAACCTTTACTAGATAACATTTTCAAACACTTTTGTATGTAGTATGTGTGTGTGCATACGCATGTGCACATGCTCCTGTGTAGGAGGTCACATGCTCCTGTGTAGGAGGTGCGCATGCTCCTGTGTAGGAGGTGCACATGCTCCTGTGTAGGTCACATGCTCCTTTGTAGGAGGGTAGGAGGTGCACATGCTCCTGTGTAGGAGGTGCGCATGCTCCTGTGTAGGAGGTGCACATGCACGTAAGCATTCACGCATTTGGAGATCAGATGTCAGTATCTTCCTCTATTGCTCTCCACCTTTTTTTATAAAAATATTTTTCATCTATTTTTATTTTATGTGTATGGGCATTTTGCCTGCATATGTATGTATGTGCACCACATGTGTGCAGTGCCTGAAATGGCCAGAACAGGTGGCATCAGATCTCTTGCAACTGAGTTACAGAGGGGTTGTGAGCCTCCATGTGGGAGCTGGGAATTAAAGCTGGGTGCTCCAGAAGAGCAGCCAGTGTTATTTGCTGAGCCCCATGTACCTTCCTTTTAAGGCAGGTCTTTCAATGCACTGGAGCTCAGGAAGAATAGCTGGCCAGAGAGCCTACTGTTTGTTTCCCCAATGCTAGGATACCCAATGTAGGTAGCACATGCTACCACATCTAAATCTTTACATGTGTGCTAAAAAATCCAAATTTATGTCCTCATGATTGTGTGGCAAGCACTTCATTGATTGGGGCGTGTCCCCAACCTTATAACATTCTTTTTTTGAGACAAGGTTTCTCCATGTAGCCCTATTATGGGATTCCCTCTGTAGACCCCTCTGGCCCCAAACTCAGAGATCCACCTGCCTCTGCCTTCTGAGAGCACAGGGTTTAAAGGCATGTGCCACCATGCCTGGCTATATAACATATTCTTGACTGACAATATTAGCAGCCTGTCCA